GTGCGGCACAGATCTCTTATCTTGGCCGCTGATAGCAATGAGCTCCGGTTGGGTAATGCCAGCAGCACCACGAGCAGCGATAAGTGAAAGTAGTACAAACTCCATGCTTGGGACCTTCTTCAGATCAATTCCATGGCCGGTCAATGCCTGCCAAACTCTATTTTGACTTGTGTACAGACGGGGCGCAGTCACGCTCGAGTTGGGCTCATCAAAAATTGCTGTTGTAGTCTGTGGAGCTTCTACCTCACTGCGAGGCGACCGACCAGCAGACAATGAGGCTATAACTTGATTCGGTAGACTAGAAGGTATTCTAGGCCCGCCTTCCTCGCCATGAATTCTCTGCCGCAGGGCCTCTCTCAGCCCACTCAAAGTCTTTGAGGGATGTACTCTCTTGACCACAGAGGTGTTCAAGCCATGGTCATACTCTGTTGCATGTGTGTCTCCAGTGGTGCCAGTCTCATGTAGTTCAGCCGCTTCGAACTCGGAGAGGGTGTAGTTCTGAACCTCTGCTTTGTAGACAATGCGAATGTCCGGGTGATTAGTGAGCCATTGCCAGGTGCGTTCATAGAATCTGCGGCCAAGACCGTTTGTTGACAGAGACGTCTCACTCTGGTCATCGAATTTGGATTGCGCATCATCCTGACGTTGGCTGTAGAAGTTTTGAATGAAACGACGAAAGTCTGCGCTGCTTGCACCTATACAAGGATTAGCGGTTGACGTCTAGTAAAGTCAAGCACGATGGAAGAGTGAAGCCGCTAGAATATATGATAGAGCAGTGAGCAAACTGAAAACCCTCAGAGATGATATTTCTCAAATATTAACAAGCAAACGAAGGGTGAATTACTATATCAAAGTGATAGTGGTGACACGGGCAAATGCTGGTTGATGTAATCTCAAAGCGAGAACGCGTGCAGCGAGTCATGCATACCTTGAACCCCGAGGAGAGCAATTTCTGAGAGCAAAAATTCCAGAAGCTCATCCAAGCCGATCGCCATTGTATTCCGCCCGTTCTTTTCCTGCGATCGCACGTCAAGGAAAAGACGGTCGAATGCTGCTAACGCATGTCAAAAGGTGGCGGGATAGCGTTTCGAACACGCGCTGCAACAGGCTGCAAGGTTGGCTTGGGAGATGTGACTGGCTCTTGCTGACGGCGGGGCCGCACTCTGGCGCGCAAAAGTTGGCGTATTCGAGAAGGGAGGCAAAAAAGTACAGGTCGCCTTGGTGAAGTTACAGCAGGTTGGCGTTGTCCAGAACAAGTTTCGAACGCGCGCAGGTTGTGGTCGAATTGGTAGATTTTCTGGCTGCGCTTTGGTGGGGTCCTGCGAGTGCGAAAAAAGAGTCCAGAGAACCGGAACTCCCCCCGCATCGGGTCTTGGCGTCGTGGCCCACGCTCACGCCTGGTGGCATTGCAAGTGAGTGCACGCATGTTTGTGCTGGGTGACTCACTGGCTGTTTTTGTGACCCATACAAGAAGCGATAGCCCAAAATCTGCTTCTGTAGATTGGGCTTGTTGGGTTTGGCTATGCAACCTCTTATCAAGATTCTAGCCGCTAATCTAGAAGTTGTGGGATTGTAACTTCGTGAAATGCCAAGACCTTATCACGTGACTTGTAAATCGAGCAACAAATAAAAATGCAAAAACAAAAACATATGACGGCCGGGATTCGCTAGTGATCATGCTATTATGATATTTTGGAGTAGTGTATTACTATAGGATGTGCTATGAAAGGCGCCAAAGCAGCACCTGAAGGTAGAGTAACTTTACGTAGCCCGCTCTAGTCGAGTACATGTCGCTCAATACCAGGAAAGGGGAAGAGGGGTAGACAGTGGTGATTTGGAAGAGAAAATGCGTTGGAGGGAGGTGAGAGAAAGACGTCAAGTATCCGTGGACTGTCTGATATTAACCAAGGCTCACGTGATGTTGTCGATCGATATCCCACCAACTCAAGAATATAGCCCGAATACTGATCGTTCTCTTACCGAGAAAGAGGCGTACCGCCACCGATATGATGAGCGCCATGATAGCCTCATACAGACAGCTCCAAACCGGAACGTGTTCTCGGCTCGAATGCTCCCTGGCTCCTAAACATATGGACTGCTCACACTCTCTAATGCGTATACTGAGGTATCGTGTAAGCCATGTATAACCTTTCTTCTTCGTTTGAAGATCCATCGATCAGCCTTGCTAGCTACACTGTCGTGCCTAAACTATCGTAACGCTTGGTCATTCACATTGGACAGCTTGCTTTAATCTACGCCTTCTTCTGAACTCCAGAGTCAGACTTCCGAGCTGATGCTACCCAGATCCTCATTAAATGACCATAATCAACGGAGAGTTCAGATTGTTGCACTTTAACCTAAAGTTCCTATAGGGCCAGAACAGAGAAGGCTGCGTGGGCTTGTGCGACTCGAGAATAGCCTAGAATCTCACGGCCACCGAGCCGCAGTCTTACGCCTGATGCCTGACGTTCTCGCCCCCACACTCTGTTAGATGTTAAAAACATGCTTAAAGGAGAAGTTTTACAAGAACAGATAATATGAATCTCTTCCTGTATCTTCACAGCGCACATTTAACGCATTTAACGATTTCAACATGGCTTCAAACGATCCGTTTCCAGCTGGCCGCACGTCAAACAGCTCTTCTGGGGGCTACGAAGATGAATGACTCTATGGCATCAATCAAGGAAGAAGGCGAATACAAGAAGTATGATATGGGTTTGGGCTCGACAAAGGCTTCCAATATGCTGCGTGGTTTCCAGAGCATTGTATCGAGCGGTTCTGATGCACTGAATGCATTGAAGGTTGGGGCTGGTTTGCCGACGGAAAAGCTCTGCACAACCTGCAAGAAGATACCATTCGCGGAGTGCCTACCAGGCAATGACAAGGGGGATGACGAGGGAACAGACCGCATTAGCCCAGCACACGATGCGCTTGTATTCTACATGAGCCTCTCCAGCATCCTAAAAAATCGCACGTTTTGCAAATTCTGTAATCTCCTTTTTCAGAGCATTTGCGAGCCAGAATACGATTTGCTGAAGGCACAACATATTCAAAATTATCTACCGGACAGCGAGGAATACAAAGACATGAGGAGTTTCCCAGATTGGATCAAGAGAAAAAAATACTGTAAACGAGAATGGATGGGAGGCGCTGGGCTATGGCCATTCGGATACGCTGTCGACAGACAACAAGCTGCCAGCTCGACGCTGCAGCAAGCGAGGAAACTCTTTCTAGAGGCGGAAGATCGCGACATCAACACCAAGAGCCTCAATATGAACGATCTTGAGGATATGTATAAGTCAAGAGATACGGTAGCCGACACAATGGCTGCAGCTAACGCAAGCCTCACGATCATCAATCTCGTTACGAACCAGAAAAGCGAAAACTTGCGGAGGGGGATGGCGAGCGCTCAATGGACGATGGGGCAACTAGCACTATTACAGAGCAAAAAGCGGAAGCGGTTGCCCTGCATTTTCATGCTCAGAGCGTATCGGAAAGACGAAGAGAAAAGAGGAGCCTTGAGTGTGCGTGTCTACGGGCACGGACGAGCACCCCTCGCACCCTTGAAGGAAATATGCCATTTCAGCCAGCGTTTCGAAAATTCCAGCAGTCCACGAATAAAAAAGCAGCAGATTTGGTATGGACAAATGATTGGTCCTCGAATCAATGTCCCGTTCTTCAGGCACTGCGTTGAGGCATGCACATCGAAGCACAATTGTGAAGAATTGTTGAGTGATTCAGTGAAAAATCCTATATCAACTCCAGCGTGGGATGAGGCCGCCATATTTCGACTCGTTGACGTGCATAAGATGTGTATTACAGAGATGAATTTCTCTGACATGATCCGCTTACGCTCTGACCTGAGGTACGTAGCTTTGAGCTACAGGTGGGGAATTCTACCACTAATGAAGGGCTGGAAAGAGTACAACACCAATGACGGGCAGCCTTCCTACCACAATGAGAAAATGAATAAGACAACATCGACTCGCCCAACCTCATGTACACACCTGACTTCAACTAACAAAGTCGCGTTGTCAAGAGCACATAGTCTCGAGGCCGAAGGTGTGCATATCCCAAAAACCATCAAACACGCCATCGAGGTCGTCCAAGCCATAGGCGAAAGATTCATGTGGGTCGATCAGCTCTGCGTTCCTCAAGAGGGTGACGAACAAGTCAAGCACGCCAATATACAGCTCATCGGTCATATATACAACCGTGCCCTTTTTACCATTGTTGCTGGAGACAGCTTGCATGCTGATGAAGGGTTGAAAGGACTCCATGGCTATCCCGGCCGTGAGAAACAGCTCATGGAAGACGGGATCATCAAAAATACCCGGATGGTGCTGCCCACGCGCATGGAGCTCAACTATAAAGCTTGGGAGGAGCGAGCGTGGTGTTTTCAAGAGAAGCTACTGTCTCGAAGGATGCTAAACTTTGCAGGTGGATTTGCAGTATGGCATTGCCGGGGAGGAACATGGAGGGAGGATGTCAATGCACTGGACGGAGACAAGTCGTTGATTTCGTTTCCATGGCTTAGACTCACACCCTTGCCGCCTCCTAGCCATGATATCTCACCAGCAGGATTGCATATTGCACGAGAGGATGGGAGTGTGAGACTGATGAGACTGCCGTCGATGCACCAGTACATCGAGGCAGTAGAAGATCTGAGTAGAAGGACCATAGGGAAGAGTTGCGACATCCTTAGTGCGTTTGAAGGTCTTGCAAACATTCTTAGTGGCCCAGGATTTCTCAACTCACCGTTCCGAAACGGATTGCCATGCCACTTTCTGGATGTTGCACTCTTATGGCAATCAGATGAGCCTATGCGCCGCCGCCAAGGCGACTCCAACAGAAAATGTCCGCCAAGCTGGACATGGGCAGGCTGGGAAGCTGCACAGAACCCATTGGGATCTGGCAGTAAAGGCGCACGAGTTCGTTATGACCAACCCTTTGACGTCTTGGTCTTGAACTCCGGTATCGTTCAACGGTACCGTCGGTGCGGTGAAGAGTGCATTCGTCCTCGCAAAGGTACACTGTACGGTGTCCAGGAAAGACCTAATAGTTTCTCCCTGCAAGAACTGGGGCTCTTCGGCATGTTTAACATGAGTGCTAGAGGATTCAGAGATTGGGACTCAGCAGACGCCAGACCAGCACCAAAACCAAGACTAGATATACCACTTCATGAACTGGAAGAGCAACATCTTGTCGTACACACGGAGTTGGTGAACCTAGAGCTAGGTAGCGATTGCTGGAAAGTCCGGACATCGACCAAACGCGCTGGTGATGAGCACTGCATGATCAATTTTCACGACACTGAACCCACCGAAACAGCATCGGAAGCCGAGGTAGACCAACCAAATCTGCAGATCAAAACAGTCGTGTCTCGAGAACACTGGATCAACACTGCAACGCATCTTAGAGCCGGTACTGTGAAGTTCGATACCGGTTATAATGCAAAAAGCGCAAATTCCGTGACCGCGGTCCTATTGTCAGAAGCGCAGTACTTGGGTAACGAGACAAGGCCAGACATTCTAGGCTATCCACTCTACAATATCATCCTTGTAAAGAAATTAAGATCAGAAGGTAATGTAAAGTTTATGGAGCGCATAGGTCTTGGTAGGATATACAAATATGCGTGGAGAGAAGCAGGGGCGAGAAAGGAAGTGGTTGTGTTAGAGTGACGCAAACAATCGTCGGTTGTGTGAAAAACTATCGACCTTCTTGGGAACACAATGTGTTAGAATTAGGTACATTCCGTCGTTTCGATTACTTAGGTGTTTCCTAGCTAAGCTTCAGCTCTCCAGCATGTACACTAGCTGAAGCACAATTCGACACTCCTTTTGTGAATGTCAAGCCTCTTTAACCAAGGTCTAGGATCTGCTATATAAGAGATTGCTCTTTAAATCATCATGCAGCCATGTTACCATCAGGCTCGCACATCGAACACACATATCGAATTTCCGATCTTGGTTACCAAAACAGGGATTTTTACAATATCTTAGCAAGCAATCCCACAAAACGGATATACCGTCAAAAGGCGGAGGGTCTCAGTATCCGTATTTCTCAGCTTCTAATGGTTGAATATACCACAATATCATTTTTCAGTCTCTATATTTGCACGCCATGAGTGTCTGTAGGCTAGTTCTGAGATTTGAGAGAGCTCACGTGATGGTATCAATAACACAAACCTCGCTTGGCACTAACTACCCTATGGACAGAACATAACTACGTATTCCGGGATGCCTTGCATGGAAGGATGTAGGCTTAGCAAGAATACAGGGTCAAGGCTCTGGGCTGTCGTAACCACTCCACTGATGCCTCAAATATCTTGTCCACGTAATGTTCGTATCCTTTTCTCCGGATCTTTCTAGTAGAAGTGCCTTGTTTGTAGTTGTTCTTTAATCATTGAAAACAAGTGGCTAAAACTTTCGCCACACGCTTCAGGCACATCGAATCTACTGACCAGTTAGGAGAATCCTGGCCAACTATGGCGTCTTTCCAGCCAACTTCCGAGGCTATCAAACTAAGACTCCCAACCCAGGCACTAGCTTGTTACACTCAAGTGAGTTCGTAATAGCCAACAAGTATTAAATAATGCATAGGCAGTAGCTGCTGTGAAGGAAGTCCATAGTAACATCCATAGTATAGTGGAAGCCATAAAATTAAGCATGCATTATAGGCTTTATCGGTGATTCACCTTCGCTCACTTATCTTATTTCATGCCGAGAAGAGCCACACTATAGGGCACAAAACCCAGCAAAAGATAGGCCGCGATGATTGCGCTGCCGATCATGAACAGACATCCACCACAGAAAATGATAAAGTAGAGTAGCTCAAGTGGGCGTTCGTAAAACCACATATGATCACCATCGAGGCGATCGTTTTTCTCACACCCCGTGATTTGACCATTCGGAATGTACTTGAAATCGAGCAAAGAGCCACCCTTGAGACCATACTTGGAGTGAATAATGGAGTTATGCAAGATCTCGCGGCAAAACTGAATAGACCAAGCCTCAAACGATGGGATCCAGTGCTGGGCAGTCGCAAGGGCAACTACAAGCCAGCAGTGACCTTTGAAACAAGCGTAATGATACCAACCTGGGTGACCCATGCCCAGCTGATCACAGATGTCATCCCCATTGAGGCGGCGGCTGCCGGCTTGGATAAAACCAGCTGATATGTTGACGGGTGGAAGGTCTTTGAGGGCCTCGACGAAGTTGTGTCCGACGACGAGTGATGATGGCGTAATGTGCAGCTCGTTGTAGCTCAGAGATTCCATGATAGCCTTGGCCTGAGACGTCGTTGCAAAGAAGTTGGTTGGGGCGCCGATGACGTGACCGACATATCTCCAAAGCGCAATGTAGTCGTCGACCTCTTGTTGAGGTGGGCGGATGCCCATATGCGGTAGCTGCTGCCAAGCGTGGTTACAACTGAAAGTGGCGAGGGCATGAATCGAATCAAGCGTGTTCATGGGTACGCCGTGGATGCTGGTGTCATAGTAAGAGGGGCCTTTGACCTCAGCCACACGTAGCATACGTTGTTGGACCATCGAGTGCAACAAACGCACACGTACTGTAGTCTCGTGGCCTTTGCCGCCGGGTTTGATGAAACCCAATGAATGTGTTACCTCGAGCACGAGTTGGAACGTCTCCAATAGCCGCCTCCGTAACGATCGCGTACTGAAGCCGCCTGTTCGCAGCAACACCTCAACCACACTTGTTGAAGCCGAATTCTCGCCAACAAATCCCTGGAGCGCGAAGCCAATGATGTTTCCCAATGCATAGCGATAGAAAAAGCGCTGCCCACGTTCAAGCTGCTCCCAGTTGACCCAATCGGGCACTGTGTTGACCTGTTTCCAGAATTCCTCAAGTGTCTCATCATGATGTCGGTTGGCTTTGAGTGTCATGAACATGTCGAGTTTTTCTATCTGTTCTCCCCGTTGCTTCTGGGCTTCCTGCTCGCGCTGGTGGATCTTTTGGATGATGTTGACAGTAGCGGCACCCAGCTCATCGTGCTCGAAGCGAAGGGGATCGGTTTTTTCCTTAGGAATGTGTTCTTTTGTCCAGTGAAAAGAATAATTTCCAACAGTTCGGATGTCCTCTTCCATAGCGTCGGAACATTTACGGCTGGCCATGTCTGTCCTGAGTGCGGTTGGATGATCGTACGCAAAGATTTGAAGCTGATGTTTGTGTGTTTCTAACATATACCACCATTACTCATTTGAATGCGCTAGTATACAAAAATGCAGACCAACATTCAAGAGGAAGGAGTAAGAGTCAGAAGCGAACTTAGAAAATTTGTGTGGGAAACTAGGCAGTGAGATTCACACTTTGCGATGGGTCCGATTGAAGATGCCAAGGGGTCTCCAATTATCTAGATATGAGACACTAGTATGCATCGGGATTTTGTGATAATCCCGCCAAGGTTTAAGGCTCTCCAGTGCTCCTAAAATATCCTGTTCATGTCTTGGCTTGACTCGGTACCACTTCTTGGCCAAAAGTCATCCCTTTCTGAGCCTACGTTTATATAGATCTACACATCGATCATACTAGTTGACACCTACAAGCTTAGATATTACGTGGGTTTTTCCACTTCGCTGTACAGTTCGAGATCGCCGTGCATAAGCGCTTACACTAAAGTAAACCACCAATAAAAACTTGGACTCGTTAACTCTCGTGTGGGATGCCCTACTGATCCTATCATGTTTCCACAATTCAGCATGTTAGTTGTTCCTGCGTCAGGCTGATTTAGCTGTTGACTCAAGCTAGCTGCTTTATACACTTGTCTCTTTCCATGTCAGTTTATCTTGACTTATGCCTCTCGCTCGAACCTCGATTTATTCATTGTCCTAACTTTATGACAAACCTTCATTTGTTGCTATCTCGCTACATCAGTTCATGTCATAACCGCAGCTATGGAGGAGAGAACCATTGTTATCATCCCTAACTTATACAAGTGCTTCTTGACCCAAGAACCTAGGTCAAATCAGGGGTACCAAGTTGCTAAACTTGAGTCGGAGCGATGGCTTGCAAAGTCAGTAATTTCCATTATTAGATGCCTGGATCCAACATTGCGCCCTAACCACATCGATCAGAACATGCGACTTCGCTCCCAGTATGAGCAAAAAGGTCAACGCCTGCGATTTCTCCTATTTCATCTCCATCGCGGCACCAGACGCACCTCCAGACAGGCTGAAGACCTTATGCGACTGGGGGAATTGGGTCTTTCCGTTTGACGACTGTGAGCTTTCATTCCCACACCGATAACAGTTTGGTGTGTTTCAGGTATGACCTCTTCTCTGACTGACGGTGGACAATACCACAGTATTCGACTCAGGCGAGCTGAGGACCGATCTTTCAACATCTGAACATGTTCTCGATAGCCTCATGGCCAATATGACGGGCAATCCCTTCATCGGATACAAGCTCCCTATCGTTAAGGCACATGACGACATCTACAAACGGTTCGAAAAAGGCTCCTCTTACAGTACCCAGAGACGATTTGTTCGTGCTATGCAGCACTACGCATTAGGTGTAGCGCACCACGTCGGGCACTTCACCACCAATCACATCCCGTCTCTAAACGAGATGCTATCCACACGGCAGCTATCGGTTGGCGTTGCGCCACTCTACCATCTCGTTGAGTACGCGCATGAGATTGTGCTTCCAGATGAGGTCTTCGAGCACCCCGTGATTCAAGCACTAGAACGCCTCGGTGCTGACTTCGTTATCCTGTACGCCGCTTCGATTGTTTTTCCACATTATCCTATGACACTAATCATACGCGCACCAGATCTAATGACATACTCTCGTACCGCAAAGAAGAAGTAAGCCCTGGCCTGAAGATACATGTATAAGTCATCGAGACACTACCCTGACCTTTCAAATGCATAGTGCGAGGGATGTCCTTTCAATATGACCGCTGCCTGCCGGCTAGCTGGGCACTCAGCGCAAGAAGCTTTCGATATATTGGGTTCCATGCTTGAGCAGCGTTACATTCAATGGGATCAAGCCATTCATAATCTGCCCAGTTGGGGTGCAGATATCGACGGTGAGGTCCGCCGGTACATTGATGGCATTCAGAATGTTGTCCAAGCCAATATTAGTTGGAGGTACGTAATTTCTTGTGTTCAACTATGTAACATGTGAATACTCTGGAAGTCAAGCATCTGCTAAAATTTTGTCCGCCTGTATTGTAGCTTCCGCTCAGAGCGATACCTTGGCAAAGATGCCCTTGGAGTGCGACGCACCCGTAAGATCGATGTTATGACGACTCCCCCCTACTTGAGGATCATGGATACCAGACTCTCATTACTAAAGTGGCCATGCGTTTCACCAACTAGTAAGTTCCACTAACTAAATAATTACTGAAATACCACTGATAAATAACTAGCGCAGAGTATACATTCAAAGTTAGATGATTGCTTCGAGGCAGAGCAGGCTGGCAAACTTGTTTTTAACGGCCTATAGTGTTACAAGTAACAAGAAGGATCCTCTCCTTGACAAATAACGAGATGGCTGAAGGCTTATGGACGTCCACGTCAGAAGGTAATGATCATCGCGGGGCCTGGGGTCACGTGATGTGCCATCCCGCCAAGACAAGACATCCCGCCAAGCATGGGATGGCAATG